TGCAGTAGTGGGAAGGTGCACTACAATAAAACTGTACGTAAACTACCTTCCAGATGAGTTCTTCGAAATAATATCTAAAATTTCAGTTCCAGCCTCTAAGAAAACGCAACGCATCTCGATGGTTGTCTTCTGGGTTCTTGCGCTGTTTAACCTGCTATAAATTCTGCTACCTCCAACATCACGGCAAATGTCTGCAAATCGTTAGAAATAGACCCGCATAGAAACTACTGCGCAATTACATTTCTCATCCATCCGGTTTAACGTGCAGTTGAAGAGCCGAGCTTTGTGTGAATCTATTGTACGTATTCTAACAGCTGAACACTGCCAACCACGTCTTTACATAGGAAACCGCCATCCGACAGACGCGTCTGTGGCCAACACAGCGTATAACCTTTAGCTGAGCACCTGTTTTCGACGGAACGCCACTTTAAAGGACGCAGGTTTGTTTTAACGTATTGCAAGTTTTGATCTAAACTGTGCCGTGTGGTGACAGTAGCAAAACTGTAATATTACCATGTGAGATTTCAGGTTCTCACGGCGGGCAGTGCAAAGATGGTTCTGGGGTGTTGCGCCGTGTATTCTGTTGCCGACGTTTCAGAGGTGTTTGCCGCCTCCATCATCAGGGCAAGCACCTGTAAAACGTCGGTAAACTTCTATCAGACTACACACCCAGAAGACAACCATCTGTAATGTTACCTGTTGTTTCAAACGAACGTCAAACCCGGTCTCTTCCCTAAGGGAGGACACATATTGAAGGTGTCTAAGAACAGGGTGCTGAAGAGAACATTCGGACTTGCAATAAAAAGCTGGAAAAGTTAAATATTCGCAACTGAAGAAATAATCCGCCTTCAAAGAATCTAGGGTGTATCACGGCTCAGCCTCCCGCTGTACCCTGAGAAAGAGGGAAGATGCAGCGTCCAATCTCAGAATCCCATGTCCTCTTCCTCCTCGCCCCTCGTAAGGTCACATAATCATACACCAGAAAGGGACAGTGGGGAAAATGAGTAGTACGGCACGTAAGACAAAATTTAATCTCTAGCCTTTACGAAAGGCGCAAACGACTTCAAAGTTGTCTGAGGTTAATGACCTTTGACCCCCGTGTCACAGTACCCACGCCCCTGCCAGCTTCTCTCAAAGCCTGGTTTCTCTCTCAGATGAAAGGACAGTTCAGAGAAATGGATTTTTCGTTACACATTAGGCTATTAATAATATTAATGTAAATATTATTGCAAAAGTTGTACGGCAGTGTTACTTGGATCGTCGGGTTCAAAGAAGAGCGCATTCAATTACTTTTATTCACTGCCTCGAAATCCGAAAGACTTGGTCAAATTCGGGGAAGGGAAGTGAGAAATTTCTAATTCTTTAAGTTACAAAAATGGGTTGCTAGGATACAGACAATAAAAGTATATGCTTGTGTTACAAACGAATATAGACTACTTCTCTATATGAGCTGATCTGAGCTAAATGGTATGAGTCACCAAAGGTAGCTACAGGAGTGTTCTAGATGTATGTTTTCAATTTAGTCACTCCAATCAATAAAAATATATATTTTAATACAGCTAAAAAAATCCTAGCAAGCACGCCGAATCAGGAATTCCCTGCATTTATTCATTCGGCATTAAGGACAAACCTAATTTTATAAACCATTAAAAGACGTTGACATACACCACTTAGCTCTGAGAAGTTAATATAACGAGGTAACATCAAAGAAGTATTTACTGCGGTATGTAAAGTGGTCGTTCAAACAGTTCATCTAAATGCAAATTCAAACAGCTAGACAGTTTTTCATTAACTTCTCCAACAAATGTCACCAACATCGGCTTATCCGTTCCCAAGTTGTTTCATGCCTACGGACAGTTCTCTGGTCTACCAGACCACTAAAATTGGAGGGATATAAGGAAATATTTAAGAATATAATGTAACATAACAGCGGCATATTAGTATTGTTGATATTAAAATACCCGAACCTTAGCATTGTGATGCGACCTGGAGGGGGAGAGATAAATTTTCCCCTGTTGAGCTTTTATTTAAAACAGCATCTCACGCCCCCGGCCTCCCCCAAATAAAAAGGAGTATCACAGAATAAAGTCGGTGACCAGTTGTATGGCTTGCTTGAGCGTGCGAATGCAACTAAATGTCGCGACCAAGCAGTTAAATAGGCCTACTCCGGCTTCGTACTCGGCCCGCAGAACGGTAATTATGACCAAGGGCTCTCGTTACTTTCTTCAGTCTGTCCAAGCAACTACTGAGACAGTACCTTAATTTCGGTCACAACTGCTTCCTTCCGCATCCCGATTCACCCATGTCATCCTATAATTTAATCTTACGTAACCATTCCAGTTAAAAAGCGTGTTAAATCAGTAAAGAATCAATAAATACGTACCAATTTATAAAACAGTCACGAATAATGACGGTTAGGTTAATTTAGTTTATCTTAGGTCAAGTGAATGCAAACTCGGCTACACTGTAAGCAAAGTTGATCTTTGCAACAACCGCTATTAAAGGGGGAGGGAGACATTTCAGTTATGAAGGTTCCCAGGCAGTGCTCGTTCGTCTTTTGGTAGAGGTTGCTTGAAAAGAAGGTAAGGCTTTCGAAGTGAAGAAGGAAGACTGATGAGAAGTGGAGCAAAGGAGGGAACCTGAGCACGGTCTTGCTGCACTCGAAATTTTAAATTTTGATATTGTCCTTGGAAGGCTGAGTTTGGTGGAATTTTGATGTTAACATGAGGGATTACTTGAGCGCAAATTTCTGGTGTTCATATTATGAAGAGTAAGGTCGTCTCATGAACACTTCAAAATTCACTTCTTACCTCAAAGAAAATATGCGTTCATTACAAAGATCACTTGGTAAATACCATTGAGGGAAAAAAGGCTGTTTGTTCTGAAAACGACATGACAAAAATAAACTTCGTGAGCAAAATACGGAGATAGTGACTGTTGAAGCAGTTGGCAGTTTCCACTAGATTTTAAAATTTAATTTTTATTTTGACAGTTATGTGCTGGGAAAACCTTTAAAGCTTAAAGGGTTAATCAGCACACAAATGTTAAAATATTCTGAAGTAGATAGACACCTACTCTGAGAACTCGTTCGTAAAACAATCTCGTTACACAACGAACTATACAGGCAAAAAATGACCTATAATATTTGGAGGGTTTTAAGTTACCTTGAAATGCTGCTTCAAAGATATTCTGCCCTTCTTGCTCTCTGGTAAACGAGAAGAGGCATATTGCTGGCACAAGTGCAGTAACTAGGAATGTTGACAAGGGGTTAAACATGGTGACCTCGTGAAATAAAGGCCTCTTCTTATCGCAGCAACACGTCTTTATGGAACCTTTACATACACGCAGTCCCTTCACCGCTGATCGGTCGATATTATTACTGTTATTCCCTCTCTTGTTACAGCCGTTGTCTTTCACACATGTCCCGGAAAAACTAGACGAAAAACAGTTTCAGTGTCAGTGTCAAACTGACATAAAATAAAAGCTTAAAGGAACATGGAATCAATTGTTACATAGATCTCGTAAGTCACACGGATACACTTTCATAACACAACTTATATCATAGATAATGAAGAATTAAGTACACGCGCATGCATTATCCTGAATGAGGCGTTTCGTAAATTTATTTCAGGCATGAATTCAGTTCCGTAATGCAATAAACCCGCACTCCGAAATGACACACCGGGCCACCTCTTTACATAACAGACATCATGTCTGCACCCAGATCGTCCACTGTCTGAGTCACTCCCGCTTCCACCAATAGAGGTCTCAAGTCAGCTACTATGGATGGACCGGTCGAAGCGGGAAGACTACCAGTGGCAGGGGAGAGGTGGCACGAGCCTCGTGACGTAGACAGCAGACTTCGATCGAGAACAGTACGCTTGCTCGCTGGGTATGTTTTCAGAAAGCAGCTTCGGTTTTCTCATCTTACGTTCGTTGGAAAACCTTCACTGAACAAAGAACTACATTGAACATTGGCAATGGTTATTAGTATTTGCAAGGTGGTGTTGCATTTGTGGTGTAGGATTAGGGCTGTAATTCGTACTTTGTTTTTCACTAAAAAAAAAGAAGGAACAAGTTTAGAATACGGCGATTACGTATATCTGTTGCTAAATTTGAGGTTTATTTTCAGTTACGTCTAAAATTGCTCCAAGCTAGCCAATTCCCATAACCTCGCCCCGAAATTTGGTTGACACAAAATAAATCATTGTAATGTAACTAACACAAATGGTCATTGCATTTTAAAGTTATGCCAAGATTGTATGTGTAAAAATGTTTATGATAAACGATAATTATGCATGTTTCTCAGAGCAACATTGCCACAAATCCTTCATTGGTTTATTTCCGATTAAAATTATTTTGTCTGTTGTCGCCCTAGTTTTTGTACCGACGTTGGTTTGGTGGGGCGTGATTCTTAATGTAAGAGTAAATATGCATGACGTTCTGTGTTGAGAAAAGTTACATCTTATTACATAATTCACAAACCGCTTTTTAATTACATATTTTAAACTTCATTTATTATGTGTAGGTAACCTGCGGGAAACATGGCTTTCGAAACCGTTTTATGGAGCCAGTTATATAATTTGTGTATTAACCAATGCACGCACACACATTATCCAAGCATACAGGAAAGCAATAGCAAAGAATGGCTTAAAGGTACATTGTTTTGTTTTTCAAACCATATGGTATCTAACAAAACAATATTAAAGTAAGTGGTTTGAATAACTAAAGTTTTAAAAAATTAAGTCACAAGGAAGGTAACATCTTATTAGTAAATTCAGATGCATGGAGCAATTATCCATTTTAAAGTCAATACCACTTTACATTAAAGAAATACAGTTTTGCTTACTGTCCATATTTTTTTTTCTGTGGCCCTCAACAAAGATATGAATAGCCAATGTGGCTTGCAGAAGTGGAAAGTTGCTGACATTTAATAGTCGGATGACTGAATGATGAAAAGGAAGCAGTCATTAATTCCTTTACAAGTCTTCATGGTGATACTGTTCCATCAGGTATAGCTGGAATATGCCTTATTCAGTCACAGTGCTAAGGGAATGTAAGAAACTGCCTAGTAGGAAGCGAAGACAAAGGCTACCTCTTATTCCAGTCATCTGCCATCTACAAAATTGATACAACTTACAATACTGTGAGCCAGGTACCTCAGTCAGTATAGTGACTGGCTGTGGGCTGGGTGATCGGGGCTCCATCCCCGACAGGGGCAGAGGATTTTTCCTTTAGCCTCTGCATCCACACAGGCTCTGGGGCCCACCCGGCCTCCTGTCCATTGGGTACTGGGGTCCTTTCCTGGGGGTAAAGTGCGGCTGGACCGCGCTGCTGACCGCTCACCCCGCTGAGGTTGAGAATGAGAAGGAACCATATCTCGTCTCCCCTAAGTGTCAACATTGGCATGTAACAGGACGGCTTTACTTTTTACAGTGTAAACTCACTTCACACACTTGCTCTGGTACACAATAGTTTTTTCTGCTAGTTTCAATTTCCTCCATATTGTTTTTGATAAAAATGGCACTGATAAATCATATGCCAAAATTCAATAATTGTTTATTGACAGGAATTTATATTAGTAAAATGTGCACTGTAAGTAGGAGAAGAAGGAAGAGCAGAGACCAAACACAAATTTCTGTTACAAATCTTTACATTTATCAGTTTCAAATAATACTGCCAACATTGATATTCACAATTAAGATTATGTATAAATGACAAATGAAATGTGGGAAAATTAAACTTTATGATAAAAACAGAAAAATCATACTGTTGACTTGTAAAATATATTTACATTAATAGTATCTTGTTCAATCTTTTATGACATAAATTCTTCTCAGATTACATGCTGTGTCAGGTGGTTCAAAGCCAAAGCCAGAGAAGAATTCATAATGCTTCATCGCCATAAACGCTGCAGATCATACAGCACTAATCTTGCATGACTTCTGTTGGTAAAAATGAATATATGGATTATACATTAAATGTCACTATAAAATTTACATTTTAACACTTATAAACCAGGGGCCCGGCTGTGTTATACTGGTTTCCAGCTTGTGCTATCCATGCAAATCTGAGATGCTGTTACACTTATTTATAAATCAGTTTTACTGTAGACATTCAGACTTGCATTTCAGAGATTCCATCATGATCTACTGATTTCCTGTATTGCTCTCGGAGTGCTGAAAGCACTGTTATTTTTAATGGTTTTATATGTCAGTGAATCCATGTATAATGAAGCTGATAACTAAATAATTGTATAAGGTATATTAACAAGCTTCTATCACTGTGTTTGAGAACAATAATATTTTATAAAATATAATTTAAAATGCCATGACAGAGATAATAATTTAATGAAAAAAGTAATTGAAAGATGGAAGATAAGAACCACCAATATACCATACTTTCTTTTTCATGCATGGCTCATTACATAAAAATATTTACAGGCCACTTAATGTACCTCGTTAAAGGCAGAACTGATGCCCTGCTATACAGCAGACAGTATTAGCCGACTGCTGAGAAAGTTTTCATGAAACTGACAGTGGAATAATGTCCATCACTGTATGTGCTAAGGAATGTAAAATTTGGGCCTGGTTATCCCATTTCTTTCCCATTCTCCCTGCCTTCAACCCAGTATATGCATTCTTAGTACTCTATACACATACACTTGTAAGTTAAAAGCACCTATTACACGCGTCATATGAAGATGAATAAAGTTTATGCATTTCTTCTGGACACAACATAAAATCACAAGTAATGAACATAATAAGCCACCAGTGAACGAAAGGAATTTAAAATAACACAATAGATTGTATACTGTTAGGGGCAAAGTACTCTTTGTCTTGATCAGATGGCAGAAAGTGTATTTCCAGTGCATGTTTAGTGACCAGAACTATTATCCACCATTGTTGTTGTGTAACTTATAATTCTGTAATGTGACTATCATTGTCAGATGATTAATTGCTGTGTGAGAGAAGGCCTGGATACTGCGTAAGAGAGCATTAATCCTGCATTTTAAATTCTATATATTTTGTTGAAAACATTTATTTGTTGGGTAAATGTGAAAGTTTTAGGTCTGGTAGTAAAGTCATTGACAAACCCAAATTAATTTACAGATGTGTGTGCATATCCTATTTTTCATCAGAATTTATATGAAGTGGTTAACAAACTCCACCATATTCTCAGATAAACTAATGGGTAACACACAAAGCACATGTTTCAGATTTGAAGATGAAGTTGAATGTTGTATGGAACATTACACCAAGTAGTCTGATCGTCCTGATGGTGGAGGTAATAAGAGCCTCTAAAACGTTGGTAAATTTCTACCAGCCTCTATAGTGCAACATAACATCCCAGAAGACAGTCATCTTCATACCTTTTACGCTGTTATGCATGTAGGTAAAGAATTCCTGGTAAAGAAGGACCCTCTGTCGACAACACTGGTTTTATGAACTTGAGCACAATTTTTCATTTCCATGTTTACACTTCATTTATTCAGAAACTCAAGTGAGTACACTGCACTAATATCATTGATGGACAGTTAATGACATGTTAGCTATTTCACATAAACTATACTTTCTCCAATAGGTATCAACTTATTACAAAAACTTCACATATTGTTACAAAATCTGTTCTAGTTATCAGCACATATTTAACAGACTGAATTGCTTCTCCAATCAAAAATACTTGTGTTAAATTGCTTAACTGCTGCTTGGACGAAAGACTTAACACTGGCATTTAAACACCTGGCAGTGAATGTGTTAAATTTTTATTCAGAAGAATTTGTGGCATTATATTTGTAAATATATATACAAAATTCTCTTTACTTCTTATCTTTAAAACTTAATTCTAAACTCTTATCTTTACAGTTTATGAAGTTTCTTTATAAACATTAAATTAAAGTGGCATGATTAATACAGCATTGTGCATTTATATATGAAAATTGAATGCAGTTGATTAAGGTTACCTACAACACTAATGTTATTGAGAATAAATATTAATGCATAAACCCCGAGTAATTATATAAAATATTAACAAGTGCTTCAAATTTTTGAATAACTCTATCAGTTATAGTTTCTCAAGACATACAATAGCACACCCCAGTTATCTTTCTAAAAATGAATAAACTACAAGGTCAGAGGGAAGTGACATACAAATTTGTTCTTTCAGTATTACAACAAATTTAGACCATCGTTATAAATGCCAATTATTAGCTTAATGCCACACTATTTAAAATCACAGAAGCTTGACAATATCAGACCAGCTAATTCAAATCAAATGTTCTTTACCGTTTTAGTATGTTCAACACAGCAGGAGGCATTTGCCTTTCTACTACATTTGACAGGGCATGAGAGAAAACTTACAAAGATAAAATGCTATTTCAAACATGACAGAAGTTCTGTACTCAGTGTTTTTATCCCTATCAAGGACAGGGTTTGTCAAACACTATCAACAAAATGGCTATCAAAACCAACTTCAATATAAATGGAAGTCATATTTTGTGTCACAAAAAACAATAAAAGCTTAAAGAGGTGTTGAAACTTTTATAAAACTAAATTAAAATTATATAATAAAATTAAATAACATAGAAAGCATTAGCTTTATTCTCCATACATATATTAACCTGTCAAGTCAATATTTAAATATCCACCAAGTGAACACTGTGGCGGTAATTAAATAACCTGTCAGTAAGAAATTTGTGAAATACAAATTGTCAAGTTTTTTACACTTCCAATCACTCTGCAATCATGGTCATTTCAAGAGAAAACTGCTCACTAACTCATCTCTTTTACATCACAATATCTGCTTCACTCTCTTCATTATCCGATTGTTCTTTCAACAACACTCTTTTCATCTTTATCACTATATAAGTCACTCCCACTATCACAAATTATAAAATTTCTGTTAACAGGTTCCTGCAAATTTTTGTGAAAATTCAGAATGTGCAAAAGGCTAGGATATCCCATGTTGCATACTGGTTCATAGCATCAGTGTGAAAAACGGAAATAACTCACATGCAATTATAGGTGTGAATGAACAGGTGGAAGAAATGAGAAATACAATGTTCTGAGGTCTTGTGCTCCCAATAGTACAACAAAAATCCAACAGATCATGCAGCAATGACAATTGTCTTGGTGCCTGCAAACAGTGAGTACATACTCGGAATACCACTGATAAAGTAGGTTTCTAACTGCAATTATGCTCTCAGGCTACTGGGTTGGAGGGTTAATTTTAGAGATTATAAGTATAGGGTGATATCTAAAGTCATGCAAACAAACAAAACTGTTTACACTTGAAAAAGATACTTGCTGTCAAACGTGTTTTGACCTCAAGGGGTCATCAGTGGCAAACAAATTAATTCATATGAAATCATACAATTCATAAGATGATGGTTTGTTATAAAGCATAAAAGGTTGCACTTTACAAAACCGTACTTTATGTAATACCACACTGAACATTTAATTGCAAAAGAGTTGGTGCATTATCTAAATTGAGTTACTTAGCATTATGTCCACTGGCCTACGTTGAAGCTACCACTGTTGGTCGTGGTTGCATCGTCTGTGCCGGTGAACATCAATGTTGCATGAGTTTGTTTGTACGCATGATTTTATATATCAATACACTGCATGGTATGCAAGGTTTTAAGACATAGTGATATGAGTGGAGGGAAGACTTCATCTGTCTATTCCTGGCTTGGCAAGATAATTAATTTAAAGAATGTGGAAAGTAGTAGTCATGGCCAAATTTAAAATATTAGTCCTACATTTGCCTGGAGGGACTGAGGAAATTCACAAAGATCCTTGGACAGCTGGTCTTGAAGCCAAAATCTGGATTGGGCACCACCTGAATATAAAGCAGACAGGCTAACCTCTTAGTTACAACATTGAGTAAGACCCAATCAAAAGGTCTCGCCTGTATAAGTAATAACTTGCAGTTTCATAAATCTGCAATGAATTCAACAGGAGAGTAATCAGAAGCATACTTAATTTTTATATTTCACACTGTTAAGTTTTATTGTGTGTCTGTATGTTATGTTTTTTATTATTACATCCTACTGTCATTCTGGCTAACTTGTGGATCTATGGAATGTGTAGTAATATGTATGTAAGTAAAAAAAAGGCATTTAATAATGGACCCTTCTATAAAGTAACAGGAAACTCTGGAAAAGTAAAATTTCTCCATTACTTAAATTGGAATCATAAAGGTGAGGAAGTGTTGGTTTGTTGCATAGAGAGATTGTCACAAGACTAATAGTATATTGGCGATAGCAATGCACATAAACCAGTTGTGAAATTGATGTCATTCAAGGATTGTTGTCTGCAGGCAGTTTGGTGACTGGTTCATTTGCAGTCAACGGTTTACAGAAAGGGATGACAAGAGTAGTAAAACAAGGTGGCAAATTAATTGAGTGAAGAATTAATCAAAAGAAAATTTGGATATACTTGGCATGATCAAAAGGAGAATAATGTGGGTAGGATGTTTAGAAATTAAAGAAAGATGATGTAGAATATCAGAATTAAAGTTGCTTAAGTTAACTGATACTTTTATACTGAAACATTCTGTTCTGTGTTGTAAGAAACCAATTATTTTCTTAATCTGTCAGATGATGAAAGATGTAACATGCTATTCTGACCAGCATCTGATTCACATCTATCTCACACCTTCAACTCACATTACACAGTACAGAATGCCACCAGCCCACATTCAACACTCTTATACATGCCCCCAGTTCATCACAAATTAGTTTATGAAAATGCAAGCACTTCAACTTGCACTTTTCATGTTTCTAACAATCCAATATCTTAATATTCAGTCTGCATTTCATACAGTAGACCCTCATGATACTGTCGAATCGGATACACCAGGAGTAAAGCATGTACCTCAAGACATAGGTAGCTCACAACACAGATGTTGAAACTGTCTCAAACACACAAACACATCTAAAATATCCTATGCTATGTAAATAATACTTTATTGTTATTTTTATATGTGATAATAATTTTATCTTTCTGTTTTTTAGAAAATGTATGACATTTATGTAAAAAACTGATTAATTTTTAAAACCAAACCATGTTACCAACACTTTAACATTGCATTAAAATAACTACTTGCATGTAGGCCTGAAGATGGCAACCTGAACTCACTGAAACATGTAGTTTCACAGTTGTTATTGTACAGTTGTTTGTGATGGATTAATAAAAAATTGGTACGCTAATTAAAGACAAACACTTGAAAAGACCTTCAGACTTTATAGAAAATGAAAAGCATGTTATTCTTGCTTAAAATTGATCCTACTCTAAAATGGTCTTCAGAAATAAATTACAAGTTTATAAATGCAAATATTTTCATACATACAGCATAACACTACAGAAGATAAAAAGAAAATTACAAAAATTTTGAGATTTTCCTTGTATGAAAATGTTTTCAGTTGTTTCAAAATGGAACTAAATCTTACCACTAGTACTTCTACAGTAATTATGAATTATGGGAATCTACAATCCCCATAAGTCTCTGCAAGCATTATTGATCACTTAATTATGGAGGTAAAGGTACCGGTATGGTTGTAATGGTCACTGTATTCCCCTCCACCTAAACTGTGTGATTATATTTTGCTGAGATTTTTAAGGATCATATTTATCACAACTCCCTAAACTCAATAGAGTTGCAGGTAAAAATCAAAGCCTTTAGTGATATCACTCATCAGAATATGAGTTTATGAGTCATTCTTCTTTTGCATAGTGCTTCTGACATCTTCTGCAATGTATTTATGAAAATACACACATTTAAATTGTATCTTTTTTAAGACAGCACATTTCACTACAGCAATGTCATACTTTTATAAAAATGTTATTCATGTGAAAGTACTTCTACACTATACAGAAACTATACAGAAGCAAACACTAATTACAATGCTTGTTTTTACATTATCTTAGTTCCATAGTTCACTGTAGTCTTTTATCAGATAATACTGAACCAAATTTCCAGTTCTTCTTTGAAAGTAGAATACTTCTTTCTTGAACTACAAGTGTATAATTATTAACACCACAATTAATCAACTAGATTGCACCATCAAAACAGCACCTTATGGTTTAGTTTTGTTGCAAACACGTCAGAAAAACACTCATTTCTTATGTTAAAAATGGCATAAAACCCTTTGCTTCACCTCTGGAAGGAAGTTGACTACTCTCTCATATACAAACCATCAAGCTAACTTCAATAAGTAAAACACTCATTATCCTACAGTGACCAGTTAAGTCACTGTAAACAACTACTATACTTCACTGACCAACACCGCAATACAGAACTCAAAAATAAAAATATTTGTGGTGCACACAAATTTTTATAATTAAATGGACTTTCACATTATCAGGGACAAACACAGTAATACTAAAATGCTGAAATTCATACCCATTTTAAATTTGTAGAATAAGTTTACTGTCAATTTGTGTTATTTGGTGCTATCATACTCTGAAATTTTGCCCATTTTTCCTCAATGGGAGCAAATACCGTGATGATGATAAGGGCAGCCACCAGTAACAGAATCACCAGTATGTACACAGCTAACATGAATT